GGAGAGCTGCTCCTGTTCACGGCAATAGAGGCGTGAAGAGACGCCGTTCACAGCCACACAAAGAAGAAACACACGCGCCCGGACGGCCGCGGCGACGCGCTGGCCACACGAGGCGCCGCCCGCAAGGCGAGCCCAGACGCCGCTACACGAGAGAACGCTGCACGCGCCGACGGTGCCTACCCGGTCCCGCAGCGAGCCGGGCAGGAACCTGCCGGGCAAACGCAGCGGCGGCGGCGGCGGCGGCGGCGGCGGGCTCGGCGGCGGCGGGGAGCCCGGCACCTTTGTCCTCCCCGTCAGTTGGTCGACGAGCGCCTCAAAGCCGCCTGCGCTGAAGTGGCACTCGAAGCGCTGGCCGGCGGGCAGCGAGAAGAGCTCGCCGCCGTTTGCGCAGAGGGCGGAGAGAGCGCACACCTCCGCGAAGAAGATGTGCTCCGGCGAGTAGTGGCTCTCGCACGGGCCTCCGATGCAGCCGCGCCCCTCTCGGCGCTGGTATGCACGGAGGACCTGCAGGTCGCCCGGACGGGTGGCAAAGACGAGCTCGGGCCGCAGCGCCTGGCCGGGCAGCTTCCCGCGAGCGGCGCACACGAGCCACCTGTCACCGTCGCACTCGAGTCAACATTGCCGTGTGTGTGTGTGTGCGTGCCGGCCCTGGTCTGTGCGCTGCAGCCCTTGCCCGAATGTGGATCTACACACGAGCCACCGAAAGTTCAAGCACATGTTCCACCCGCGGAGGACGCGGAGCGCGTTCAGATTGGCGCCGACGCAGCGCGCAACCAAGTCGGCCTGCCAGCTGCCGCCGCCGCCGCCGCCGCCTCCCGACACGTCCTGCTGGGTGCAAAAATCGAAGATGGAAGCGTCGTATCCGAGGACGGCTGGCGCCGGCGCGCTGAAGCTTGGCCGACCCGCAGGACTCGCGAGGTCTCCGCTGCCTGCCGTGAACCAGTTTGCGTCGCACGAGTCGGCACCCGCTGCCCGCACGCCGTCAAAGTAGGCACTCGTCGACGGCGACCAGCACAACGGAGCTGGAGCAGCCTGCCGCTCCCAGCCCGTCCGCCCCCAGAGCTCGTGGAACGCCGAGCCGGCGTCGGCGAGCTCGGCTGAACAGGCGCGGCGCATTTTGATCGCTTCTGCGAGCGTATGGGCCAACAATCGTGGCGACGGCGGCGGCGACGGCGGCGGAGGTAATGACGGCGGAGTCTGGGGAGGCTCCGTCATCCACCACGGCATAGCTCGGGGCGGCGGCGGCGGCGACCGTGGCGCGAGCGGCGTCACGGGCGGGGCCGGCGGCGACGGCGACGCAGCCGGGCGGTGCGCGCGAGGCTGGCACAGCAGCGCGTCGACCGCAGCCTTGGCCACGTCGGGACGCTCTAGCACGAGGTAGCTCTGGTTGGAGGCGCGGCCCCGCCTCCACGTGTTGCGCCCGTTGAAGACGTCGTTGATTCCGCTGCAGTCGGAGCACTCGACGAGGCCCTCCCGCTCGGCGCTCGCGCCACGGATGGCGACCAACGTGGCGAGCGGGTCCCACGATGAGCGGCCGCCAGGCGCCCAGCCCCAGAAGCTGTCGCGCCGGTAGGCCATATAAGCGTGCCGGCACGGGTTGTCCCTGGTGGCGCACGACTCTAGCGCCTCGCCGGTGCGCACATTCTCGCCCACCTCCCCTCCCAGGAAGACCATCCTGACCGTCCTCGGCATGTGCTTGACAACATAAGACGACGCGGCGGAGGCGGTGGCGGCGGACGCACGGTCGGCGCCGTTGTAGCAGCCGCACGCGTTGCATTCGGCCCGCTGGGAGGACGGGTACCGCCCCGCCATCACCACCAGCAGCGCCACCTTCTCCGCGACAAGCTCAACGCCGCGGAGCTGGCTGTGCTCGTCCGGCGCAGAGCGCAGAAGAAGCTCCAGGTTGGTGAGGAGGCCAACGGAGGATATGGTGACGCTGCGCGTGGCTGCGTCCGCGAGCACCCGCCGGTAGAGCTTCACGGCGTCCCGCACCTGAGAGTTGTTGCGGATCGGCGAGGGGAAGGCGCGGACCACATCGTTGACATACGAGAGGGGCGGGTACGAGTGGTGCAGGCCCTGTCCCTTGTAGGCTCCGATGGGGACGTGATCGCGGCCGTAGTAGTGGTTGATGACCGAGATTACCCCCGCGCACGGCGGCGGCGCCGTGTCCTGCACCACCGCCAGCAGCTCCACCTCGCCGCGGTCTGCCAGGGCGTGCGTCATGCAGAGCGCAGCCACGTCATCGACATCCTGGCAGGCGCCTCCACCCATGTCGGTGTCGAGGATGAGACGGACAGGCCCCGCAGGCGGCCCCAGGCCCAGCGCGCCGCGGAGGAGCAACAGGAGCGTCGCCGGCATTGGCGACCGCGGCGCGACGCGATGCGACATCTTTGTGGTGTGCTGGCTGTGTCCGCACCCGCCTCCTCGGGATGCTGACTGTGTCGCCTCCTGGTCGGCGCACTAGGGGTTTCTTTTTTCACGACACTTACTTTGTTCGTGCAGTGCGTGCCAGTCCCGTGCCCAGTGTCGCGAGGGAGTTTTGTTCCTAAATTCTTTTTTGGAAGGAAGTGTCAGGGAACAGGAAGTCGCTAACATCTTCTTCTCTTCCTATTTCGGAATCGTGCCGCTCGGCCAACCAATCGAAAACGGGACACGCCCAATACGAATCAACTGTCGAAGAGGAAGACGGGCATCCACCGGCCGCGCTCGTCGCGCTCGCTCGAGGCGCGAAAGCCCGTTACGCCCGCAAAAGTCGCCGAGTGCAGCGCGTGGAAGAGCGGCGTCAGGTCCTCGGCGTGCTCGTCGCCCGCCTGCACGGAGGACCTCCGAGAAGGTTCCTCATGGCCAAGGCCGCGGCTCGCGTCTCGGCGGGGCGCAAATCGCGGCTGCATCTCGGCTGCCTCTCGGCTGCCTCTCGGCTGCCTCTCAGCTGCCTCTCGGCTGCCTCTCGGCTGCCTCTCGGCTGCCTCTCGGCTGCCTCTCGGCTGCCTCTCGGCTGCCTCTCGGCTGCCTCTCGGCTATGTTTGAAAAAAAAATGCCGCTCGCCTCGTGCAGAAACTCGGTGTACAAGCACTTCGTCATTCGGCACGACGGCGCAGGCTCGGCGGGGGCGGTCGCGAACGCCTAAGGAAAGGTCAGGTAAACTTCACCACACACAGACAACCCTCGCGACTCCACGTCTAAAGACTGGGGACCACGGCATTGAATGTGCAAGGCCCAGTTGCGCGTTGGGTGAGGTGTGTGTGTGTGTGTGTGTGTGCGTGCGTGCGTGCGTGCGTGCGTGCGTGCGTGCGCGCGCGCGAACGCCTCGCCGAGGTCGGCCCGCCAGTTTGCAAGCATCCTCTCCACCATCTTGCGGCGGCGGCCGGGGAACCACACCTGCGCCGTCCGGCAGCTGTAGTTGCAGGCTGCTGGTTAGGCGCTAGTTGGTGGTGTAGCCGAGCGGCAGACGCACTCGTGGGTGGGCCGTGGGCGAGAGCAGAAGAGCGCGGTGCACAAACACAGTGAGGTGGTGGGGCAAGGAGGGATGGTGCGAGCGGAGAGCGGCCGCGGGCGAGCGGTCAGGGCGGCGGCATATGCACAGCGTGATGACGAGAATGTGCTTGTGTGAGGCTGCCACACCGAGCCGGTGATGACCATAGAGAGACGGTTGGGCACGTAGTTGACGGGCACCGCCCACGGCTCCTCGCCGTTGGGAGGCGCGACCACGCCGATCGCGCCACCGACCACCCACCGGACCTCGGCGGCATCGACGAGGTTGAGCTCGTCGGTCGTCGCCGAGACGTGCAGCAGGTGCCTCTGCGCCGCGAGCGCCAGCGCCGCCATCTGCAGGTGCGCGGGCGCGCGCTCGCAAGCTGGAGGGAGCAGCGGCTTGTGCGCCTCGATGAGCGCGTCAGCGCTCTGGCTGATGTCTTCTTTGACCCGCGCGACGGCGTCGTCACTGAGAGGCTCTGCTGCGGTGGCTTGCGGCACTAGCACATCCTTCACGCGCAGCAGGCTGAAGAAGGAGGAGCGCTGGACCGCTGCGGCCTTTCGCGCGGCAGCTTGCAGCATTGTCGGCGGCGGTGGTGGTCAGGCTCGTGCGGCGGCGGTGGTGGCGTCGGCAATGCTGCAAGAACGGAGGAGGACGGCTGTGTACGCCCAATTTTTTCTTTTGGCTTAGGCAGGCTCTCGGTCGTGCTCCCAACACACTCACCGACCCACTCCCCTTCACTCGCCCAGAATTCAGCCGTTGGCGGCCCCGTACCCGGGCAGTGAAGCCCCTCCCAGACCGGTGGTCTCTCCCCTTACACAGCTCGGAGTTGCCACAGCCGCCGCTCTTGCTTCGCGCACCACAACCGCCAGCCTTCCACCGTAGTTCCTTGCGCGCGTAGGCTGAGAAGGAGAGTCGCATTCCTCTCCCATGGCCTGCTCGGCTCACTCACCACACGATGTCGGACACAGGCGTGGCGGCGTCGCCGAGCTCAAGGGCGACAAGCGGGTGGAGCGGCGAGCAATAGATGGAGTTGTTGCTCGCGCCACTGCTCGGCGGCGCGCCACGTGTGGCCGTGGCCCTGCGACCGGCCGTGCGCGCGGCGGTCACTGCGCCGCCACCGCCGCCTCTGCTGCGCACGCTCCTCACTGATCACATCGAGCTGCCTCTGCTGAATTGTTCGGGCGCATGCGTTGCTGTCACCCTTCCAGGGCCGTCGGCTGGGGAGGGGGGAGCAGAGCCTCTGCACTGCGCCCTCGGGGCCGTGGCGGAGGAGCTCCACCCGTCGGAGCTGGCATGGGCCAGAGGGCGCGGATCGCTGCAACGAGGCATCGAGTTTGCCGCCGGGCGCGTCGCCCTCCGCCGAGCGCTGTCCCTCGCCGGATCGCCGGCATGCGGCGCTCTGCTCCCTGACGCCAGCGGTGCGCCGGAGATGCCCGGCTGCGTCGGCGACGCCCAGCTGCTCGGCTCCATATCCCACACGCGCAGCTGCCGCGGCGAACCCGGCGGCGGCGAAGCCGGCGGCGGCGGCGGCGGCGGCGGGCTCGCGGTGGCACTGGTGGCGGCGGTGCGTGGCGGCGCGAGGGGGCGGGTGGGCGTCGGGGTCGACGTGGAGAGCGCCCGCCGGCGTCCTTCGGAGCGCCTCGCACGTCGTGTCCTCGCGCCGGTCGAGCGTGAGGCGTTTGAGGCAGATCTCGCCGAGATCTCGCCGAGATTTACCGAGATCTCGCGGAGATGCGGCCGGGATGCGGCCGAGATGCGGCCGAGGTGCAGCCGAGGTGTGGCCGAGGGTTAGAGCCTGCTCGTGGGAACAGGACGAGTCGTCGTCCCTCGGCCTCGAGCCTGCGTCCGCCGTGATGCTGCACTTCAGCCTGAAGGAGGCGCTGTACAAGGCGACCCGCCGCTGCTGCCTGCATATGTCAT